CTCTCTCTCTCTCTCTCTCTCTCTCTCTCTCTCTCTCTCTCTCTGACAGGATCTAAGTTGCCCACCTGGGCTCCAACTTGAGACCCTCCTGCTTCAGCTTCCCAGAGTGCTAGCATTCCAGGATCCATCACCGAGCCTGGTGATGTTCCAAATGTTTATCCTCCCGGAGTTCACTGTTCAAACCTTTGATCTGGATGGTGGTATTAAAAGGTGGGGCTTTCAGGAGCCTTCATGAAGTGTTGTGCCCTCACAGGACAAGCCTGAAGGAGACCCCCTGCCCCTCGAGCCCCCTGAAGATGAAGTGAGGTACTACCCGTGAGCCAGGAAGTGGGGTCTCATTGGACCCCAAATCTGCTAGTGGCTGCATCTAGGACTTCCCAGCCTGCAGGATAATGACAAACATAATTCTCCTGTTTCTACTCTTCCCAGCTTATGGCGCTAAATTTTATCCAAGCAGCAAAACCGACTAAGATGCCCGAGAGGAGGAAGTTCTGACTCTGACCCCGAAATCCCGCCTGAGCTTCCAGCCTCCTGGTTACCTCTGCAGACCGCAAGGCCCACAGATGGGCAGACCAATCCATGGAAGCCAATGCCTCCCTCTCTCCTCCTCCCTGTGTACAAGTGTGTGTGTAAAGGGGTGTGTGGGGGGTATATGGTATGTATGGGTATATTTATTCTGTTGGCTCTCAGTAACTTGAATAACTGGGTAACTCATTTTTAGCTTAGTAAATTTATTTTGAAATTGTTATTTACCTATATAATTTCGATCCTATTATTGAGAATATTTTATGTATTATTACATGTTACTGTACATAATGACTACTTTCATTGTGAGTATCTGGTACAGGTACATGACACATCTTAATTCCATTTTTCTATATTCCTTTCCCTTCCCCCTTTCCTCTTCTTTCATCTCCTGGTCCTGTTCCCGTTTGCAGCAGATCTATTACCCAGTTTCCTTTTATCTGTCTTTTATTTTACTCTTTTATTTATACCTTGGATTTCTCATACAAGAGATACCATATGGTATGTAAGCTCATGCATCTGATTTATTTCACTTAACATTATGTTTTCAAGGTGTATCTATTATCCTATAAAAGGGTCAAATTTATCCTTTTTTACAGCAGCATAGTTCTCCATTGCGTATAAATACCACGTTTCTGTTGATGGACATGTAGGCCACTTCCAAGATTTGGCTATTATGAGTTGTGCTGCTATAAACATGGTATGCATGTCTCACTGTATACGGTGTCTTTAATTCTTTGGGAAAGATGCCTCATAGGAGAACAGCTGGGTCAAATGGACTTTCTGTTTTTAGTCTTTTGACTCTCCATACTGATTTCCGTGGTGGTTGCAGTAGTTCATATTCCCACCGCCTCACCAGCATTTGTTAGCATTTGATTTCTTGATGTTGGCCACCACCAGCACCATTTCTCCTTGACGTACAGTGAAATTTCAGTGTTGTTTTCATTTGCATTTCGCTAATGGCCAGTCATGCTGAACATGTTTTCATATATTTGTGAATTATTTATATTTCTTCTTCTTAGAAATGTGTATTCATTTCAGTTGTCCATTTTTGACTGGGACTTGTATTTTGAGGGCCTAATTTTTGAATTCTTTATATATGGCAAATATTAGTCCTCTGTCCAAGGTGCAGCTGGCCAAATGTTTTTCCCATTCTGTAGGTTGTCTCTTCACTCTGCTGGTTGTTTCCTTTGCTATGCGGAAGTTAATTTGATATGGTCCCATGTGTTAACTTTTGATGTTATTTCTTGTATAATTAGGGTTCTGTTCAAAAAGTCCATGCCTAATACTATGACTTCAGGATTCTTACCTACCTTATCTTCCAGTAGGTTGTGTTTCTCTTTCAACGTTTAGATATTTGATCTACTTTGGTTCTAACTTAGTAATAGACAGACATATGGATCTCGCTTCACTCTTCTGCACACTGATGGCCAGTTTCCCCAGCACTGTTTGTGAGGCTATCCCCAGCACATGGTTGCCCCGTTTGCAAAGGTCAGTAGCTGAATGTGGCTGCAGCTGTTTCTGCATCCGCCATTCTGTCCCATTGATCCACATGTCTGCTTCTGTACCAGCACATGCTGTTTTCATCACTGGAGCTTAGTAATATAACTTGAAATCTGAGGTTGTGGTGTCTCCTGCTTTGTTCTTGTTACCCAGGATCGCTTTTGCTCTTCTGGGTCTCTTCTGGTTCCTTATTTATTTTAGGACTATGTTCTCTAGCTCTGTGAGGAATCCTGTTGGCATTTTGATTGGGGTCCCTTAAATCTGTGCAACAGTTTGTGCCATATGGCCATTCTGCCTATCCAAGAACAGGGGGTGTCTTTCTATTTCTTACGGTCTGTTCAATCTCTCTTTAGAGTTCTATAGCTTTGGACGTAGAGGTCTTTCACTTCCTTGGATAGGCTGATTCCTAGGTATTTAATCTCTGGGTAATTTAAACTAGATCACAAAGCACAGGAATTGCCCTCTGCATCATTCTAGAGCTCCTAATGCAAGTGATGCTCATGTCACTGAGATCTTGCAGGGATGAGAAGGTGTGGGGCTGCTCCAGACCAGCTGGCTCCTCACTGCCCTCACTGGCCTGCTCTAAATCACGTGTGAAGCACAGCACGCACCTTGCACTGCAGGGACGCATTTCCCATGGAATAATTTCTGGGAGCCAAAGTGGATAAATGACAAACTCCAGGTTGAATTTCAGCGGTATACTTACATGTCCACACTTGAGAGGCGCAGAGCAGCCTCCTTCCAGGGAAAGTGGTTCTCCGCTGGCCGTAGTTACAGCCAGGCAGGTAGGAGGGCAGGAATACACGCAATGCCTGTCCTAGGCTGTACGGTTGCTGTGTAAGCATTGCACAACCAAAGACTGCTATCAACAACTTAAAGGCATTAATACATGCATTCTTTCACAGGTTCTCAAGGAGGAAACAAGAGACCAATACTAACTTGAAAATGGAGAAAAATGTAGAAACACAGGCTACTGTTGTGCTGAGTCAGCACAGGAGAACTGAACATGGAGGGCTTTGCTCCTGACAGAAGGCTGTGGTTTCTAACAAGCTTGAGTCACTTCCTCGCTCTCTGGTTGTATAGTAAGCATGCAAACCCCACTCTTTGTCATTCCCAACTGGCGAGGCGATCTGATAATGTGAGGAGACATTTTCGGTTGCCACGGGGGGTGGGGGGCGGCGGGAGAGTAGGCGATGCTGACATCTACAGAGAAAGACGCTGCCAGACGCCTTTACACCACAGACGCCCTGCCCCCCGGCTGATGTCCAGGCCCCAGAGGTCCATGGGCAGAGGCCGCAAGCCCTTCTCCAGGACAACTAGGCATGAGGGAGGCACCTCCCATCTCTCCCATGAGTGTCTGCTGTTTTAAACCGGAGAGGAAGACTGACCTGGAGACTGAAGGAAGGCAACCCCAGGTCGGGAGCGGACAGGAAGCTGGCACGGACCCACAGCCCTCCAGCCCTGGGCAGGAGCAGCGCTGACCTCACAGCCCCGTTTCAGCCACTGTCCAATCAAAAGGAAGGGACCATACAATGCAATCTGCTGCACCTGACCATACAATGCAATCTGCTGCGCTCCACGGGGAAGGCAGACTCAACGTTCATGATCACCCAGCACCAATCCTGCAAAACGTGTCTAATAAGGACGTGATGTATTTCTAATGCCTTCCTTAATTTCATTTCCCCCCTTTAAAACAATAAATATTGATAACTAACTCTAAGTTGTGTCATTTCTTTGGGCTTCAGTTGCTCAGATTGAAAAGCAGAGTCCTCCTCTGTGAGGCTGTTTCAAAGTGGAGTTTGTGAGCCCCGGGGAAGCTGTGCCACACGCTTCCCATCCAAAGAACAAGCAAACAAGCCAACAGGCCAGCTGACGTCTCTCCCTGGAAGTTATCAGTCTCTCTCTCAAAGGGTCCCGTTGTCAGGTGCTGGGTAGAAGATGACCTCCCTGCCTCTCCCTACCGGTCTCTGCTCCACTGCTGCCCCTCTGCCATCTTAGCCTACAGTGTCCGGGAGGGTCTGGCACTTGGGTAGGAGGGAGAAGCCAGGTGGAACCATCCTGTCACCCGGAAGCCAGGGACCGAGACATAACATTCAGCCACCAAGGGCCACCGTGGGAGCCAACTGAGGTGCTGGCTTTACGGGGAGCTATGTGTGGTGAGCTCTCTACCTAGACTGACTTGATGAAAAGAATCTGGTGTATAACAAAAAGAGAAATAGACACCGTTATAAAAACCTGTGGGAGGCACTGTGGGTTCTAAAAATATTTAGGTTGTATAAGACTGACTCCAGAATTTTCATCATCAGACGTTTCACAAGGGTTATTTTTATCGGTAATTTTCCCATGTAATTCCAAATAAAAATCTAAAATTTGGAAAAGTAACAAAGCGATATCTTCACAACTTTTACGGTGAGTTGACAGGAGAATGCCACAGGAAGGTTCTCTCTTTACCTCTCCTTGTCTATGATTTTAGTTTTCAAATTTTCCACCAAAGCACAGGTGTGTAATGCGCAGAAGTGTCACGCGTGTTTGGCAAGTGACAAGGTCGTTCTCCTTTCTGGTGCAGCTTAAATACATGGAATTCTTATGCTGATTGTATCACTTGAGCTAAGATGTCAAAATCAACAATATTTTTAAAACTCCGGGATTGTGCTAGCTGCCCCCTTGGCACACACTTCTCAGGGGTGACGCTCGCGGCCTCTGAGCCAGGCTGGGTCACCCCGTCCTCCCCAGCAGGCGGCTGTGGGCTCTGTCCCGTGTGCCCTCACCCTGTCCCTGGCTGTCCCATCACACGCTTGCATGCGCGGCCCTTCTTTCCGAAATGTCTCCAGCCACATTTGCCTCCCAACACAAACTTCCCTGTGTGTGGTGGACAGCGAGCGTGGCCCTATCCTTCATGTCTCCTGGGCTCCACGCCCTCACTGAGGCCCTCCAGCCCCTCCTGCCTCAAGCCGAGCTGGGAGCTTTCTGCACTGCACCTCCCGTGGCCCTCAGACACCTTCCGGGCACCATGTGAGGACCCCAAGCCAGCTTCGGGACACCTGGGCACAGCCAGGCGGCTCCCCACTCGGCAGCACACAGCAGGCCCACCCAGCAGCACGGCCACCTCACTGGCAGGTTGCCGAGCTCTGTGGAGCCCAGTCTGAGTGCTGCCCACAGAAGGCTGAGCAGTGCACTGCTCTGAGCCGCACCTTAGGGACTGGTTTGTTAGGCAGCAGTGAATACTGATGCTCCCTGGGATAAGCCCAGGGTGAGTGTCTCGGGAAGCCTGTTTCTGCCACCATGGATACCAGGGCAAAGGACACAGGAAGCCACCCTGAAGTGTAAATCTCACGTGGCTCTCCTTTCTTCCCCGAGGCCTGCAGTGGAGATAGAGCTCACTCCGCCCATCCGTCCTGGGCATGGCACAAGCTGACAGCCGCTCTCTGCCTTGGTGTCCCAAAACGCCACTGCCCCTTTGCAAAACTCAAAGCCAGAAGCAATCATCCTGCCCTGGGATCCTCCGTGCTGTGCTGCGGACCACAGGATCTCTGCAGATCCTTGGTGGCCACTGGATAAATAAATCACCATGATTTAATCACGCTAGGATCTCCAAGACCTGAGTAGAGCTGCAGCCTCAGTCCTGGGCCACATGAAATGGTTAAATTCAAGAAGCGGTGTGTGCTAGGGTTCTCCTCTTTCCTGGGTGTGGCTCAAGTAAGACAGGAGAAAGAGAAACAAAGCCCCATGCCATTAATCTCAGGAGTAAAGCAGAACAGAGCTTCTAGCGTGGGATCCACTGGTTGCATTACTCCTCGGTCTGTCTCTTTATTGCACTTATTTGGGAAATGCAGAGTATCTGTGGGTAGACTTCACACGGCCACCGCCCATGTTTTCTGGCGCAGTGCTGATTTAAGCAGTCTTTCCCAGTGGACACTGGGCAGTGCTCTTCCTTGAACAAAGAGAAAGAATCGCGCCTGTGAGCTCTTCCTGTGTATGATGCTGCTGACAAACACTGCCCCGCCTCTGGCGGGTGGTTTTTGCACACCGGCGCCTCCTCCGGCTGAGGAAACGGTGGGCTCCCTGCGGTCGGTCGCAAGGCGGGGACCTCTCCGACACTCCTCCTGGGCTGCATGCGCGCTCTGTGCTCTCCCTGCGATGCGAGTGCCACGTGCTGGACGACGGGGTCAGTGGCCACCGGCCCACGGGGTAAGCAGCAGCCAGGAAGCCCCAGCCTCAGGCCTAGGACGTCCTTTCTCCTCGTTAGTGTCCGGGCTTCCATCTTCATCCCATCCCCTTGCTCAAAGCATTGGCGACCTGGGAGGGGGAGGGGTGCAGGAAGCAAGCGGCAAGGGCACGCCTGTCACTAGTGTCTCGTGCTCCGGCTACAGAACCCAGGGGGGCGCTGGGGGCTGTCAAGAGCTGTGCCTTTCTGTGGGAAGTGCACTTGCTCTGACATCAGCTGCTGTTGCCTGGGAGCAAGCTGACCAACCACGCAGTCTCGGGCCAGCTCAGCGCCTTTTGTAGCCGGGTCTCCTCAGTGTTCTGCTCTGCGCCCCAGTCCCCAGGTGCTCACCACTCGCACAGAGACCCCAGCCTGGCAGGACAAGTCATGTTCTCCGCGAACCTCTCAGGGCTTTGTCTTTCTGCCCTTCAATTTAAAAGAGCTATGAGAATACTGCAGACATGACTTGGGGTTCAAGAACACATTTGGAAGCACCCTGAGAGGCCCTGTTTCTTAGAGAAAATCTTTCTTTCATTATAAAATACTAGAAGATTCAGATAACTCCCGGAGATCTCCCCGTTTCCCCTCTTTCCCCTCTTTCTGCAGGAAAAAATAAACAGCGTGGCTTGGCTGACCCGGCAAACACTCAGGAGAGCCTGCAGGGCTGCGGGCTGGCGGCCGCTTCTCCTCTCCTGGCGCCTCCCGCAATCCTCACGGAAGAACGTCTCACTGCACACTGCTGCCTGACTCTGAAGGTGCCGCGGGGCCTCCAGGTCTGCCTTTACTGAGGGGAAATCGTAAGAACCAAGCGTCCTCACCATGCCCATGCCGGGCCACTGCTCCGTGGGGCTGGTGCAGCCCCCACACGCTGTGCCCTAAGCACTCAGGGGAGCCAGGCGCGGCAGGACGCGGCCGCTGTGATGCAGAGCCAGCAAAGCCAGCCCGACGGACGGCGGTGCCCGGCCACGCCTCACCTGCTGCCCTTTCTACTACTGGTCCACGCTCGCAGCACAAGGCGTTATGTCCTCCTGCGGACTTGGTGTGTGGACTTAACACACCTTAACTCATCTTAATTCTTCCCTTCCTCTTCCGGCGCTTCCCTCGCCCTCCATCGCTTGATCTTCTTCCCATTTGCAAAAGTCCTATCTCCCTGTTTCCCGTTGCCTGTCTTTTATTTTGCTCTTTAACGTACTTATACTTTGAGTTTCTCATATAAGGGAAATCGTGTGATATTTAAACATTTGTGTCTGGTTTATCTCACTTAACATTGCAGTCTCAAGGGGCATCCATTTTCCTACAAATGACTCAAGTGTATCCTTTATGGCAGAGTAGTGCTCCACGGTGTGTAAATACCACATTCTCTTTATCTGCTCGGTCATCTGCCGGTGGACGCGTGGGCACTTCCAAGCCTCAGCTCCTGTGGCTGTGCTGCTGGAAACGTGGCGTGCACGGGTCACTGTCGCGTGCTGTCTTTAGGTCCTCTGGGAAGATCCCCGGGAGAGGGATGGCTGGGTCTGACGGCGTTTCCGGTTTCAGTTTTTGAGGACTCTCACCTGGTTTCCGTGTGCTAGTTTACCCTCTCACCCACAGTGCTGCCTTTTCCAAACAGTTTTTCCTATGCTGGAACAGAAGTCTTTGTCCCTGCGGTCCCGTACCTACTGCCCAAGCTCTGTCCTCTCCCTCGGCCCTTGGCTGGCTCCTAAGGGGTGAGGAAGAACACACTGGGCATCAGGGAGGGTCCCCACCCTCTGGCTGGTGCTGTGCACAGGTTGCCCACGGGGAGCTGTTCCAGGGACCCTCTATCGCTTTCACCCCGAAACACTCCTCTGACCTCCTGGGTCAGGGTAAGCGTGTGCCGAGTCGCCCACGCCCACCCTGTGGGGATCCGGCACCCGACACTGCAAACCGCCAATAACTAACGGGAGATCACTGCTGCTTGAACTGGAAGGCTCCAGGAGAACACGGTCCTCCCGCACGAGGAGACCAGCTGCTCAGAGGGAAATCACGGAGGCTCGAACAAAGCCCAGGCCCCTCCCACCTCGGGGTCTCTGTCTCTCGCTCACCAGCACCCTCGGTGTCCCCGAGCTCTCTGGTGTCCCCTCGGCTGCTGCCCCTGCTCAGGTGGCTCTGAGCCCCCTGTCAGAGCCCGAGGTCACTGACCCTGCTGCAGGTCCACCCGCTCCCACCTCAGCCACAGCGCGGCAGAACAAGAGCACATCACACATTGGGCTGCAGCGTCTCCCCGTGACCAGAGTCTTGGCCCAGGCGCAGCTGCAGCACATCCCAAGCTGGCACGTGCAAGGGCCTGTGGTTTCTGTTCTGCTTCGAAGGCCCCAGCTTCTCTGAGCCTGCTACGGCTTTAAGCAAAGTTTGGATCAATGGATCAATCGAGTAGTTCCAAAGCACCTCTGCTACTTTATATAAAAGAGCTGGTTTTAAATATTTCACATTGGGAAGTTTCTTTAAGATGTACACCGGTGGAAAATAAAACAAAAATGAACTGTGAGGCTGAAATACTAATAAGTATCCGATCAGTTGGCTGATGATTTCAAGTTAAAAAAATAAACAGGAAAGGAAAACATCAGTCTTACCCCACCTTCCAAGCCAAGTTCTCTGAACTATGTTGTGAGAGAAGTCGCTCCGGCCCCCACTCCAGGTTTCCGAAGCCCTGCTCTGGAGCCGACAGTGCTTGGGCCTGGATGAGGGTGAGACAGCCCAGGACACACAGGTGTGAGTGCAGGGCGCCACGGCAGGCGTGTGTGTGTGGGTGTGTGTGTGTGCACACGCGCGCACCAACAGGAAGAACATCACCGAAAGCTCAGCAGCACAGGTGAGTGGAGAAACCTCTCACTCACAGATGGTGGGCAAGAATGGGGGAGCTGAGTGGGAGGGGGCATTGGGGATCCTGCCCTGGTCGCAGGTCATTGGGGAAATA